TTCGGACTGACGAGCTCCTAAGCGCCCTGTGGGCCAGCGCTTGAGTCTTGTTGACTCTTGAGAGTCGCCCACTTCCACCTTCATTGAATTGGCTCGTTAGCACTGACCCCCCCCTCGGTAAGACAACTCCCATCTGGTCATGTGCTGTGTGTTTATACCTCCCTACTGTATGTTCCACTCCATGCATCCGATGAAGCAGGTTCTAGCCCACGAAAGCTAATGCCCAAATAAATGTGTTAGTCTCTAAGGTGCCACAAGGACTCCTCGTTGTTTTTGCTGATACACGCTAACACGGCAACCCCTCCGAAACTTTTTGAGATCTGTGGTTCCTGACACAGACGCAAGGGAGGATCGGACACTGACTTGTGGGCCAGGGGGTGGGGGTGCAGGCTCTAGGACGGAGTTTGGGGACTGGGGGATGTGGGGATGGGGTGCAGGCTATGGGAGGGAGTATGTGGGAAAGGGGTGGGGGTGCAGGCTCTGGGAGGGAATGGGAGGGGGTATGTGAGGAGGGGGTTCGGGCTCTGGGAGAGGCTTGGGGGAAGGAGTGGGGGTGCAGGCTTTGGGAGGGAGTTTGGGGTCTGGGGGTGTATGGAGCAGAGTGCAGGGTCTAGGAGGGAGTTTCGGGGTGGGAGGAGGTATGTGTTGAGGGGGTGCAGGCTCTGCAAGGGGGTTGGGGGTTGCGGCGCTTTCCTGGGGCTCCAAGGCGGAGCGGGTCGGATTCTTTGAACAACAGAATTCTTTTGGAGTGTTATACACCGCTGAAAACTGTGATCCTAATGATTTTTTTAAAATATCCCATGTTACTAATTAATATATGGTAAATTGTTAAAACGGGAAGAACTTTACCACGGGTGCTGTTTATTTGTTCAGCCTTTCAATTAGAGCTGGATTCCGGACAAGTGATGGCCATGAAGTTTTAGAATTAGTTTGGGGAGCGGGATTGGAAACCATTAAGGACACATCTTTGCTATCTGGTATAGTTCCGGCTCTTCCGAGGGCTCCCATCGACTCGTAAGTACCAAGCACTAGTTGTGGTGCTTACGTGTTTTGTTGTTTTTGTGGATACAGACTAACCCAGCTACCCCCTGATACTTGGAGGATGAAGACCTTATTTGCAAGCTCTTTGAAACAGGGATCTATCTGCAAACTCCGAAGCCATGTGCCAATGTGCTCCAGGGCTTCTGCTCTGAGTTTTTGAGTTGGTGAAACACACACACACACACACACACACACACACACACACACACACACACACACAATCTGAAACTAGCCTGTTTCTACAGGGCTCTGTTGCCCTTCCACAGTATGGGTCCCAGACCCTCATTTAAAATACCCATCACCAACCACTTGATGTTTTCCTTCCCTTTGTATTTTCAGTGTTGTCACATGTTTGTTTGTGGGCTGGTTTGCTGTCTGTGTTCCTTGATTCCTTATTTTTACTGCTCTCCGTGTGCAGTATTCATCAGAGTAAGAGCTGACGACCCAGAGAAATTGTGTAAGGCTGCGTGAATGCCTTTTACTCTCCTTTCCAGTATCAGACAATAGTCAGGATATTTGCGAGGAGAGCGTGACTATTTCTAGTGGACTCATAGCTCTGTTTAGCATCTTAAAGCTGAGCTGTGTGCGCAGATAATACGCCTGCGAGAGGGATAGTTTTGTGAACTGCAAGAGCCCGTAGCATGCTAGTGTTTTGTCAGTTGCTTCATTTTTTTCAGAGCCGCTTTCCTTAAAGCTGTAGTGGTCTCTGGTAGGAGTAGGTTATTAAAGTTGGCCTCTGGTGCATAGTTTTTATGCTTTTACTTAGTGGCCATGGTTTCATTTTAATTACATAGCTGTTTTCAGTAGGCCACATTTTGGTGTTTCCAACTTGAGTTGTTAGAAAGGATGATAAAATACACGTGAACAGGGCGGACTGGCTGGCCTTCAAGGGGCAGCCCTCCCTGTTATCTGGGAGGGTTAGGGGGGCTGGGAGCCAGGACTCCTGGGTTCTATCCCTGGCTCTGGGAGGGGACCAACCAGATGGCCTTTCTGTCTCTGGCTGCAACACAACTTTTGAAAGCCACCTCTGATCCATTCCCAAATCCCAGGGAATCTCCCTGTTGATTCTGGTGAAAATTGGAGAACGGAAAAAGCCTGATTTCAACTAAAATGAGGCCCAAGGTGCACGCTGCCCATGGTGCTGGAAGAGGAAGGTCTCTGGTGCCCTCTGCTGCTTTCTGCACAAATCGCTCACTAAAGGGTGGTGTAACCTTTGTGAGGGCTAGAGTTTGCGTCCCTGCTCTCCTCCTCATCCCTAAAAACGCCTCCCAGGGAAAAGCACCTGGAGACCCAGAATTCAGTCACTGGGGGGTTTCAGTGAGGATCGCACAGGGCAGCCTCCCCACATTCAAATCTGGAAAAAGAACAAGAGAGAGGGAACTTAAAATAACGCTTCAGAGAGAAAATACTTGAGAAATGGTGGGGGAAGGTAGAAAAGGAAAGCCACTTTTCTCAGAAGAGCAGACTTGGCTCCCTTCCGTGTCTGTCACCAGTGGATTTAGTTCACAATAAGGGTGTTCCTCCCTCCCTGTGGGGTGTAATAAAAATGAAGCAAAGACAAAGTAATATGGTGCAAACAAAGATAAGTGGATTCAGGGTACAGGTTCGGAAAAATGGGGGAAAATGGGGAATGAAGAAACACAAACTTAACCCTACAGTGACTCAGTGACTGGCTTTAGGAGCTTGACGCTCAGACCCACAAAACCTCCCTTGGCATTCCGAAAAACAAGAAATGAAACCCCAACACAGAAACCTTTCCTAGGATTGAGGCGCAGTGGACACAGCGCACAGGTGCGAGGCCCAGGACCTTCTACTCTCCGGCTGATTTAGAGCCTTCGAGGAGGACCACTGGGGAGACCTGACGACTTGGATTTCGTCGCAAGCGGGGAGACCCTATGGGATGATGGACACCAGGACCGGGTAAAATGGATTTGGTTCGCTGTGGCGGGGATAGTGATGACAGGCCTCTCCTTCCTCTACCCCACTGCGGGATAGATGGTACTTCTTCTCTCTAGCGCTGGAGCATTGGAAAGACCCGACCGTGCACGTGCAGCCGCTGGAATGGACGGCCCCGCGCCGGCGCTGAGCCAGCTCTTAGATAGCCTTTTTGGCGGGAAAAGTTCTGAGGGGACGGAATGTTGGGGGCTGGCTCTGGCGGGAAAAGCTGGTTCTGTCCGGTTTGAGCCAGAGGACTCCAGTGTCTAAGTTGTAAACAAGTCCACTTACAGAGATGGAGTCCAGGGGTCATAGTTCATATACTCCATATTGGAGTCTATTAAAGCCAGTGATTCAGTTAACATTACCTCAGAAATACATTATTAAAACAACTAATTGAACATATTAAACAGTACTAACATTCCTTACTTATTTATACCTAACAGTATCAACTTTATAAAGCCTGATAATGATAGAAAGCACAATAATAAAAATAATAACTTCATTTATACAACATAACCTAGCTCCTAGGTGCCAACTATGGGGAAAAATTAGCGGGTGCTCGGCACCCACTGGCAGCCAATCTCTCCCCTCCCTCCAGCGCATCTTGTCCACTGGCGGCTCCACTGACCAACTTCTCCCCCTCCCTCCAAGCGCCTCCCGCCCACCGCAAAATAGCTGTTTTGCTGTGTTCAGGAACTTCAGGATGCTCCAGGAGGGAAGGGGAGGAGCGGGGACGTGGTGCGCTCAGGGGAGGAGGTGGGGCAGGGCCGGGGGCTTGAGGTAAGAGGCAGAATAGGGGCAGAGCAGGGGCGGGAAGAGGCAAGATGGGGACTTGGGGAAGGTGGTGGAGTGGGGGCGGAGGCAGAGGGGGTGTGGAGCACCCGCCAACCAGAGGGGAAGTCGGCGCCTATGACCTGGCTACTTTATAAACCACCTACATTATTTCTTTTAATATAAAACTGAAGATAAACAAAGATTCAATCTAAGCCAGTCAGTCCGCACAGAAACACAGTGAGAAGAAACGCAAGAGTTCAGTTCACCTGAGGCTCAGTGACCGTCTTTGCTCACCAAAATCTCTACATTTAGCTGAGTCAAAAGCACGGCGACTACGTCTTCTCTCCACTTGCTTGTCAGACTCTCAGGCTGGAATCCCGGCAGGCTCTTTTCATCTTCGCTGCCGAAATCAGTTCGCTAGTCAGCTAACCAATTGCCCCTTTCTGTAATCATAGAATCATAGAATATCAGAGTTGGAAGGGACCTCAAGAGGTCATCTAGTCCAACCCCCTGCTCAAAGCAGGACCAATTCCCAGCGAAATCATCCCAGCCAGGGCTTTGTCAAGCCAGGCCTTAAAAACCTCCAAGGAAGGAGACTCCACCACCTCCCTAGGTAACG